ATTAATTATTTAAATTAATATCACCCTTTGCATCATTCTATCCTACTCAAATATGGGAAGATGAATTTGCTTGGTTGTTGATTAAGCAAAGTTATAAATAACAGAAAATTAATTAATCGAATCATGCCTTAAATTACTAATATGGAAATCAGAATTAACTATGCAAAGATTCATTTTTGTGTGTTCCTTTAATCTACTGTCTAAAGAGACGATGACAATTGTTAATCGACTAAGTCGAATTAATTTCTATCACAATTGAGATGTTTTGCTTTTGAATCCCAGGGGTGCGCGATAGACTTACCTCCACGTAGTGCACCCTGGGCAACGTATACTCATACAACGGAAATGTTCATAAACCGAAAGTTGACTTCTCACTTCAGCCTACCATCACCCCACTGTATGTCATATTCGACTACTTCCACAGTACTCGCTTCACCTTACCTTTTTCTCTCTACCTTTGTATCTGCCCCCACCCCTCGATTTTTTGTGACTTTGATGTTCTTCCTCACAGTGAAGCCCGAAGACAATTAATGGGCTAATGATGACTATTATAAAGTCTGCCATTTAATATAATTAAATAAAAAAAACTCTTGAAACCTTTGAAAAGTAATTCCGCAGTAATTCCAACTTTTTATGATAAGTAACTAAAAAGAATCTCAAATTTTCACTCGTTTCAGTAAAATGAAAATGCCATGAGCATCAATGGTAAGCAATGGTGATTTGGATAGCTTCTAATTAATAATTGGGATTAGTGCTTTTAATAACAAATTATTACGAATTTAAGGAAGATAAAAAATTTCAGGAAGAGTGTAAAATCAGTCATGTATAATAATAATATTCCAGCAGAATTTTTAAAATCTAATATTAACTCGTCTTTACTAATTAATTATAGCTTTTTCTTAAACTTAACTCAAAATTAATTCACCCAAAAACAAATTGGAAATTTCTAGAATATGCAAATACTTAGACATCGCCTCAGCAATTCCAAGTTAATGCCATCGTTTTTAACTACTTTTTCTTTTACTTTGAATATTACTAGCTAAAGAGGAAAATGCCGTTTCCTATAACTGATATACCCCTTCTTCTACATATATACCCAGGGAGAAATGAAGCTGCCCTACTTTGGTGAAGTGAAGAAAAATTTGAGAAAGCTGTTTTCTTTTCTAATGATTAATTGCCTGAATATATTTTTGTAAGAAAACTCATTTCAGTGAATAAATGAAGAGAGCAGAGATATTACTTGCTGAAACCCGCAGCACGAAAATTTTTGCATAATTTTCATGCGAAAAGTGACTGGAATCAGTAAAAAGGAGTAAAGAAGGGAATGGAAAGACGTTGAGAGCACATTCGGTTTTTTAAATTCGCGTCAACGAATGTTTCCAATGCCTAGTGCTAGTTAACTGTTCATTTGAACAATTTTTTAATCATAGTAAATTGTCATTTATAAACAGGGTGAACAATCCGATAAACACAAATGCAAGAATAGAAATAACTTTAAGATAAAAATACGACTTCTAAAATGTCCAAATTTGAACGGATTGATTATTCCCGAGAACGCCTTTGTTTTTTAGCGATGATGGACAATTGGAAGTAGAGTGCAAATCGTGATGACTTAAAAACAACAATGGAATAAAAATTTCACCCACCAATCAATGAGTCAATATTTGGGATTAGGATATTGCAGGAGAAATTATACGCCTCATGAGAACATCATTCTACAAGTAAGGGAAAGCCAATCAATTGATGGGCTGACTCCATTATCAATTTCTTCTTGATTTCTCCACCCTCTTTCCCTCCTCCCTCCAAAATTTTCCATTTTACTGAACTTATTTGTTCTTCCCTCTATTCTGTTGCTCATTTATATGTTTTGCTACTGTCTAACCTCGTCCTGAAATCCGTTTCTAGCATTAAAACATTGATGTTTTGGCACAAAAAAATTCCCATTTTCAGCTAGGCGAGTAGTTAGGGTCCAAGACCTGGGCAAAACAGATTTGATGACATTAAGATTTATATCATTCTTAATTGCGGGAGAAACATGATGCCGATCACCTCGAAGATCTTAATTTGCCAAATTGCCAGTTTCTAATTATTTGTATGGCATTATGATAACATATGTCATGTTGTGGTGTTAGCATCCTTCATTATAGACGAGGCTTTCGGCGCACAAAACTCTGTGGGAAAACAGGTGAATGTAGTCTCGTTCTCTATATCACTTTCTCTCTCTCTCGCTCTCTCTCACTCTCTCACTCTAAGGGAGGTAGTTTATCATCCCCTTAAGGTTGGCCTTCGCGCTGCTAACTAAACAGGCCACTTTATATGCCACGTCAACACAAAACCGACGGGTTTCGACAGTGGCATTAGAATGGCGGTTTCCCCTTTACACCGTGCTTTGTGTTTAAGAATTTTCTCAGCTTTGGTTATACTAGCAAATTGTGTTGGTCTTTTCCAAGGCTGTCTCATCTGTGTGGATAATAATGTTGAAGCAAATAGGTCCATTGCTTGTCGAACTTGAAACAACCGAAAACAGACGGATCACTTTTCAATAAATATACTCAAATCTCTCAAATGGAACAAATTTAGCCTTTTAGTTCTAAAGATAATGGTTAAATGAATGAGCTGTCTCTATAAATTCATAAATTGCAAAAAACTTTAAGAGGTCAATATTAGGTAATCATAATTTGAACACTCAAAATTAAGTCAATTAATGAATGATTTGACTTGTAAATAGTACATATTCTTATTTCTCTTAATTGGTTGACATTTGACCGACCAAATTTTAATTTTAGATTTCATGATTTAGGACATTTAGAAAGTTATTTTCAAACTTAAGTAAATTACCTCAGTATGATTTTAGGAAAAGAGATAGTAAGATATAAATAGCAGATTACTGTGAATAAATAGTGCAGATATCATAATTAAGTTTAAATCACCCTAAAATCATATATTCCCTGGGACTATAGGATTTCGGGATGACTGCAATCCACCTGAATCATGGAAATGAACCACTTTAATCACAATAACACTAGCCAGTCGACAATAAAGGAAAATTAGGTTCACTCTTCAGCGCTCCCTGACCCACCGCGAACTGGAGAATTGCAATGGAGGGTACAATGCTGCTGTGGCTAGAAGCAAATAACGCGACAGATCATGTGACCCGATACACACCGGATTTCTTATAAAATAGGCTGCAGAAGAATTGTGTCAGAGCATCTAAAATGGGATTCCGAATTTGCCGTTCCAGTTAATTTATCACCTCAGTTTCTGCCATGAGACTTATATTCAATGGAGACCTTCCTTATTTCTACTCATTCATTCAGCTTCTCAAAGGGCAGGCTCCGGAGCAAGGTAAAGCATAATATTGAAAGAGGAGGCATGCTTGAATTCAGTTACTTGCATGAAATCGCTGACCTTGGTAGTACTTAGGCTCTGGATAATGAACGAGGCTAACCAATAAAAGGCCAGAGTATGGGAACAATGGATTGTCAGCCGGGTACCAATGAGTGCTTGGCTTCTGAAATCCCCATGGAGCATTACGTGTGGCGAGCTGTCGAGAAAGACACTTATCGTGCACCACCGAAAAAATCCGGTTAATGGACAGAATGGAAGCAGTTTTTTGAGATCCTTCCATGGAAAGGATAAATCAGCGGGCTCCAGATTCCCGACTGAGACAGTAAGGACGCTAATTGAGGCTATTTCGTATAAAACTCTTTGATAATAGTATTTTCTCTTTGTCTATTGAATTCGTTTTTAATTCATTAAATTTTATAAATACCAATCACTTCTTTCCCTGATAAACACTGTGTATAATCATATATATATTTCATAAAATAATAAATAGCTTTATTTTCCTAAGTCTACACGAACAAATTTTGAGCAATTTGTAGCTTGAAAATGTTTACCAAATTGCAGCTTTCCAAGGTGTGGAGAAGTCTGAGGAAGTAATCAGTTCAATTGAACAATGTTATATAAAAATTCAGAAGAGAAACAAATCTCAGCCAGTTACCTATTACAAGGGGTGCACAGATACGAACTATAAAGGGGATTTGGAGGATCTTCACTGGTCTCTCATTCGAACTATGCCTTATTTCTATGGTATCTTTGATTATTTTGTACATAAAAAACAACTGACACCAGAGTAAGGACTAATAGTATACAGGTTAAAATCAGGTTCGTGATCAAGGAAAGAAGAAATAGTTGCCTGTAATCCGAACCATGTGTACATTCAGGCGAGGCGTATTCTTTCCTGTAGAGATGAAGAGCATCTATGAGTGATTGATAATCAGCCCCACATCTACATTCAGAGAGGGGGTTCGGTTGTACTTCCAGGGTCAAAATGTCAGATTTTTCAGGACACAGTTTCTTCCAACCAGTTCTATCCGCAGCCAATATGAAATCACCTATTTTGGGACAAGTATAAAGCATATCCACATCACAAAGTCCAGACACATTATGGAAGACACGTGTATCCTTAAAGAGGCAACCCTCGAACGAATAAGATTCCAGTGATAGAGTCGATAAAACGTGCCGATCAATTTTGATTGCTAGACCTAAAGAAATGGATAGGCGTCGGAGTTTTGGTGCAAGAGCTGTGAAATCGTTTTGTCGAAGAGTGGAGAGGGGAGTTTCAATAGTGAGATAGAGGGTCTCCGGTTCAGGATTCATTTTTACCAACACTTTGTATATAGTTTCTGCAAATCCCCACTCTAAATAATCCGCAGAATTGTTAAAAGTGGAAATAATCATGTGCAACAGGCGCCCAGAGGCATGTTCAACACAGGTCGTCCGAGCTAAAGTCCCCTCCCGTTGTATGTCCTTACCTTTAGGCACACAAACAAGGGCATTTTGACGGATTTCACCTGCATTTACCTCTATCCAGCAAACAAGATTACAATCCACATTGACATATTCAGACTGTCGCGTCGAATAGGTCGAGGAGGTATCAGCGCTTCTACGACCCCGTCCTGTACTTCCAGTTGGTCGATCATTCCACGAGATGAGGGTGTCTGTAAATGTGTCCACAAGTTCGTCCATTGTGATTATATCCTCGATAGAATTGGCATCCCTCACAAGCAACAAAAGGGTGGTCAAAACCATTGACAAAAATAACATTGCATTGGTTTCGAAATTAGGCTCCTAATTAGAGGTAGGGAGAAAGGGTGGTAGTAGACAGTGGACTTATGTCGGCTGACTCATGTGCATGCTGATAGAAGACAACGAAAGGTTAGCCTCTCTCCGATATTACGCGTGGCGCCTGTTTCTGGCATCTTCAGGGATGCTTATTGGTTAGGAAAATCGCCCAATGGGATGCTTGACAAAGGAGCTGGCTCGTTTTCAACAGCCCACATTTGCAAATCTTTATATTTTGCGTGCGTTTATTGGTCCCAAAGCCAATGACAATCATACAGGTAAATCACGCAGACACTTAAATAACAGGTGATCAAAATAAAATTTGCTTTGTTATTTAGGGGAGAGATGGAATTACAGGTGCAAATATCACTGTAAACACTTTGTGTTAAGTGGAATCTCCATCACAATTCTAGTTCAGCCAGAAGTAAATTTAAATGGTCTTACGCATTACGTATCGCTCAGGAAAATGGATAAAATTGGACTTTAATGGCTCATTATGAAACAGGGATGAAAGACAATGGATACATGGGCAATTATAGCAAGTAGGTATAGTAAACTATTAAAACAAACTGAAGAAGCCGGGCTCTTCGGTCGAGATGAATATTTGATCTTCCTGTTGCATGATTTATTTCTTTGATTTCTCATAGCATGGATAAAGCTGAAAATCCCACTAATATTTTGGGTTCAGCAAAACTCTAACCTCCCTTTATGTTTACTTGAAGTGGAGCGATTAGAGGTGATCTAATAAGCCGTAAATCCTTGGCAATTCAGGGACTCCTTTCGTGTTTTTTTTACTTTTACCTATCATACAGATCATGCTCTTATAGTCCCTTCTCTCTCTCTGTTTAGGCTATTCACTCCTCAATAACTCTGTAACTCTATTTTTTACTTAGAAATCTTACATCGGAATCTTGATTTGTCAACCAACCCTCAATTTATGACCTCTCTCTCTCTCTCTTGATTTCAGATTTTCTCCAAAACGAAAATTAGGAGGACTACAGTTTGGCCAGACCATTCTGAAACAAGATATCTAATCCATCGCTCTTCGAAAGCGGGCGCTGTGGACTGTCTGTTAATCAAATTTACTTCAGCGTTATTGCATTTTACATTTCAGCTCAGTTATATAGTATCCTGACTATCAATGCCAAACCATATGATAAACTCCTTTCGAATGAATGTAATAGCTAAGAGTGACTAGTTAGTCTAACTGATCAGTTGTAATTGACACGATAGGATTTAGACAGGACAATGTCTTTGTCCATGGTTCCCAATACCCTCACTCATTTGTAAATTTTAAGTTTTATGCCCTAGTGAGAAGAAAAAGATGTCTATCTCTTCCGGCCACATACTTGCATAGGTAATAGTCTACGCTTTCAAAGTATTGGATTGCAGTTTGCCCAAACGATTTATTGTTTTTGGCATAAAATAGTAGAAGTGTGAGATTTTCTATAAATAGGATTCACATCTTTTAATTTGCCCCCAAGCAATAAATACAAGATGTTGAAATGTAAAATGAACCACTAAAACGTCAGCACGCAAATAAAACGAAAAAATTGCTGGGATTAAAATAGCTTTCACTGCAAGCGTCAAAGACCCTTCACTTGGTCAATTATTTTGTTTATTTGAAGATGCAAAAGGGTTTCCTGAAAAGTGGTAGGGTTCTCAAATACTTTAGTTCGCATTAAAGCGTAACTCGCGCTGGAAAGAACTTCGAAATAGAATTAATGAATTTTGGAAGTAAGAAGGGATTGTATAACGGGAGTCTGCTTCTTAGAATGGAGTTCACTCAACCTACTGCTCATTACAAATCTCTATCTCCACAGCATAGTAAATCGGCGAAGAGTAAAGATACTGGCAATTAATGTCAACTTAAGTTGGTCAGTACTAGGATAAAAATCATTTGAAGGATGGGGTTTCTGAAAGGACTCTTAGAAAAATATAACCTTTTTTCAAATGGCAGGCGTTTTGGTATTTAGCATTAGCTCTTTAGCTGACTTCGGCTTTCACAGAGGGAAGGAATATTATAGTGAAAAAAATTCGAGAGAGGGGAAAGAAGAGTGATCCACAGATGTAAAGAGACAGATGGACACAAATGCAGAGAAAAAGGAAGATAAGTTAAGATACTGTTGAAGTGGTCGGATTTGACATACAGTGGAGTCATGTAGCTTGAAGTCAGAAGTTAACTGCTGAATAATAGACTTTTTTGTGGTATGAGTATACGTTGCCCAGAGTGCACCACGTGAAGTTAAGTCTATAGCGCATCCCATTATGATTTTTATCATTATCCCCTAAGTTGACTCCGGCTTTATATATATATATATATATATATATATATATATATATATAGGCTTTAAGAGATAGTTAACAGTAGTTCATTAGTTGGCTTCTGGATTCTCAATATCTCTAAGTTTTTGTGATTGCCTCTTGGGCTGGACACTGAGTCATCTTAGAAAAAATATAAGTTATATGATTCATTAAAGGAAATAAACATTTAGAGATATTTAAGGAACGTGAATGTACACTCTGAGGGAACTATCTTGAAGTTTCCAAGGCTAGTAGCATATCTGTTGGATAAAAATGATTAATTTCATCTGAGAGGATATATGCTAACGATGTATTATTGATTATTCTTAAAATTCACCATTTTTAGCATAAACTAAATTGGCTGGTCACTGCTTGACAGCAGTTTGTTGTAACTTTTTATAATTTGGCTAATTCCATTGTATTTTTAACAAAGGCCAACGTGCAAAACTCACAGGCCAGAGCTAGATCAATAATGCGGATGGAATTAATTAATTCTGGTTGGGTCAAGGCCTTACAGAAAGCGAGTTTATCAAAAGAGTGGCTGTAGGATATCCTTCTCTCTAACTAAATTAAGTAGGGTGAATACTTTCATAATGGGTTTGGAAAATTTCGTCATTGGCAAATTTTACTAAACAGTAAATATTGCAAAAGAGATCTATATGAATCCTTGGAACGATCACCCGGCGCCAAATCCATTCCCAACTCTGTTGTTTCGTATTTAATTTAGCAGTTGATTGAATTGATTACGATTTCATTGAATTTTACCTTTGTTCTCAGTTAAATTAGAATATTTACGGTTGATAATCTTCTCTGTCACTTAATCCAACTACGACATAAAAATACATGGGCGGGCTTCCTCGTTCATTCGAATATACGAGCAGTCTTGCACTTTCGTTCATTTATTTATTCATTTATCTTAATCTATTATTCAGAATTTTCCTGCCGGCAACTCTGTGTGGGCGTTTCGTTCCTGCGTTTGGTACTCATTCTTATTCGAATATTACTCGTTGGTTGGTGTTAAACGGATGTAACATTAGATATCCCAGGTCTCTAATTCAAATTACAATAGCTTCAAATGATTCAACACTCTTTATCATGCTATTATCTTGCTAATTACATTCGAATCGCCCCTATCATTGTTAAAGATAGTTTAGGGGGAATTTATTATAATTAATGCTCTGCCACGGAAACTGTAGCACCCTCGTGACAAATAAAAAGTTAAATAAGCCTTGGAATTTTAGCTTACTTTGGTTTCATCTAACTTGAACAAATACATTTTTAATAAGAATAAATTGTGGATTTTTATTATCTACACACCGGAATTTCAACTAGAAAAAGGAAAAACATTTCCCCGTTGTTATAGCCAAATCATATGCAATATACCACAAATCACGTTAGTTCACATAAACAATATTAAGGTCATTCCTTATTAAGAGACCGGTTGGTTTAGGGAAATTAATTTCTAATTTGTTTATAATTATATTGTTCTCTTTTAAAATAGGCTTGTTGTTATTGCATTGGAAGAGAATGAATGGTACGTCGGTTTCAAAAAGGTCCCTGCTCTCTCTCTCGTCAAATTAAAGGGTTACTTGATGGAGTTTCACCGCTTTATATATTTAGTAAACGCAGAAGTTGGCCGATATGGATAGTTTTGTCTACATGAGCAGTGCAGAAGTGCTTATTTCTTATGAGACCAGCATCAGAATACTTACCATTCATTTAAATTACGGGTTTTAAGGCGTTTCTTAACGAAACTGCAAAGTATATTAAATAATAAAGTAAATTTTTAGGGAGTCATTTTATATCAACTTACGTGATGGGTAAAATTGGTAATCGCGGTATTTCAGGTAGAAGAAGAACATTCTTAAAATGATTTATCGCCGGCTAAAATGGACTACCTGTTGTTATTCACATTCATAGGGTGGTTATCGAAAAGAATTTGTCTGCAGCTAATTTGGACATAAGTGTAAATACCAAATTTCAACGAGAAAAGCCCCTTGTGAAGTCTGGCATTGTAAATGTTTCACTGAAATATCTTTGAAAAAGATGAAAGTTAGAAACCACTTTTCTGGACTACTTTTCATTGCTTTTTATAAAGCAATGGGTAATTATTATTTAAAAATATCAGCATTAAAGTTAATACCATCTTTTTATCAATAATAATATTGGAGGGACGGGTACCAAACAGAACTATTTAAGTTCAGTTTACATACAAACACGGTAAAGGAAACTAATCTGTAAGCTTAATTCGCATTGGAAAAAACTGTTCAGCATTATCTAAAAATCAATAAAATTCATTTTATTGTAGAGTTTTAAAGTTTTCAAGCCAGGGCAGGCAGAGGACATGTCAGACAGATATTGCATGCTGCTTTGCTTTAATCGAGGCTACTAAAACAACAACTAGAAATTATAGCCAAGTCCTACAGTCTGCCGATATAAATTTTGCCTTAAAAACTTGAAATCAGGCATCGGAAATTTAAATGATGCACCAAAAGTTTTGATGAAGTATGAATTTTAGTGGTGATGTAGTAAAATCTCTGGTTGAATCAAATCCTCGGGCTAACTAAGGAAGAATTGTTGTGGAAGCACATATGTTCAAGGCCGACTGGGCAATTATACTTGAAGGGCATTTAATTCTCGGAAGCTAGTTCATAGAAATTGCTAATGTCATCATTCTCCATCACATTATTTTTGGATCTCTTCCACTTACTTCTGTCTGCCATTCTCCCTTCTTATATATTTAGGAGCATTGTTTATAGTAGCCGGTTCATCCTCAAAATTATTCCCACTTGCCTGTCAGCAGGCACTTAGGCTATTGTGTTAATTGAATACACTTATCGCGATTAAACCAATTAGAGCCCTTTGGCAGCTGCCCAGGCCTTTTATACGTTGTTGGAAATCCTGAAAATCTCATCTTGTGGTAGAAAATGGTAATTAACTAAGCACATTCAAGAAAAATATCGTGTCAAGAAAAGAAGTTTGGGGGGGGGGGAGAACACTTTCAAAAACGGCCTAAATAACTTCTATTTGCTTGATATACTTTAAACCACCAAGTAAAACAGATTTAGTTTTATAAAATACACAAAAATTGCTCAAAACCACTGTGTATTAACGGCTGTTTTAATCAACAATTGCGCCTTTTAAGTATGCAATGAATACGAATTACATTTCAATTACAGGAAATAATTCCGAAATACTGCTATCCATTCCACTCAGAGGTAAACTGACAGGGGCAAATTTTCTTTTCAATAAGGAAGGACATTGATATTCCTCATCAAATATCTTCGCTATGTATTTTCCATCAATTTCTCTCACATTGATTCTAATTGAAGGCGCTAAGATACCAGTCTTTCGAGAGGCGTAAAACTCAATCACTGGAGCAAGATTTTCGGGTTTATGAAGCACTGGTTTGGGTGGGGGTCGATTATGACAAAGACGTCGAATGATGTGTGTATTCCGCTTCAGTTTTCTCAGACGACAGATTGTTTGCTTATATCGTTGTCTATCGCGACTAATGTGAACGAGAATGAGATTGCATAAAAGTGTAGCCGTACCGAAAAGTGCCAAGCAAGAGCCGATTTTCATACTAAACTCAAGTAGGGAAAATTTACTTCCCTTTCCTGTCACTGTGATCAGAAATTGAATTCCATTGGTCTTGTGGAAGATTCTTCTCTGTTGTGAAGCCAGAGTGAAGTAATTTCCATATTCAAGAATGTATTTCTCCTCCATTTGAACTATATCATTTTCATAATCAGCTGGTTCAGCTCCAAGATATCGAAAGGAGTATTCAGGCACGCATTCTTCTAACGCTTTATTCAAGTCGCAATTCCATTTGATATTGATATCAATTATTCCTCCGTTGAGAAGGATATGCCATACATTCGCTCCGGATTTTTGGAGTATATCTGCAATAACAAATCTAGGACAGTAGCGATCGTACTTATCGTTTGCATTGTAAAGACAAGAGTAGTAATATGTTTCATTCATCCAATCCAGTTTATTTGATCTTTTCACTTTGTAGAATGGAAATTCAATACTATTTCGAATATGCACGGTAAAATTGAGAACTTCAAAGAGTGGTGGCACCTTATTTTGATCCATAGTATTGAGACGCGACAACTCCAATTGCTCGTCAATAAATGAAGTATCCACAAAATAATTATAAGGAAAATCCGATTTATTAGTAGATTGGAGGTCTTCCTCGTTATGATCAGGCGTGAACGAATACCAAGCGTAATATTGCGGATCCGTAGTTTCCAAAACTGGACACCATGCAAATACTTCACAAGTTTTGGTTTTGGACAAACAGCGACCAGTAAATGGTCCGTGACCGTAGTTCTCCACATCAAACCACGAAGAATTTGTTAAATGCACGAAATCTTCAGGAATAACGGTTCCAGCAATGTGGCCTTTTGGGCACTGGGCATCACTTCGACAGCGTGCATCCAATAGGTCTGGCACCTCTGGACAAGTGTAATGGTGCTGTTCTACACAGTTGAATACTCGAGTAATTAAGAAGAAACCAGAATTTTGAATGGGAGGGTGAACAAGATCCGCATCAGAGTAGACTACAGGCCTTTTAGGGAGACTACTCTTGCATTTATCGTTGAAACTGAAAGCTGTTCCTCTTACCAACGCAGACACACCATATATGGGATTCTCAGAAGCCTGATAACCTTTCTCCCTTATTAGTACCCATCCAATGAAGTAGGCTACAATAAATATTTGGAGTAGGCGATAAATAACGCCAACTACAGAGGATTGGATGAGTACTGCTTTGGGCATCTCGTAGGTAGTGAAACATTCTAGTACATGTCTGGACCAATCACCGGGGGTAAGAAAGTTACGTTTCCTTGAACGCACAGATGACTTTGATTTCGGTCTTCCCATGAGTTGAGTTGAACGACAAATTTATCGCTCACAATAAGAGAGGCAATTTACTTTGGATTGCAAGAATACAAACATCTATTACGTGGAAGTCATTTCTCATTGGTTGGCGACAGAGTAACTATTGGATCGTTAGTGCTTCCCATGCTAAAATCCTGAAATAGGAAAAAGTAGTTTTATACGCTTTAGACCTAACTTTTGCCTTAATAGACCAGAACTACTGAAACAACAATTCTAAAATTGTAATATACCAATGCCTGTTATAAGTGAATAGACAGAGAAGAAAACGCAGAAATTGGCTAAAAAATATTTCCAGGAAGAGAATTTCGCATCAAAATTTACGGCATGATTTATTATATTACCTCTAAGATGCATTTTGCTATTTTATTAACACGTGCGGATTCGATTTCAGTGTAGTTAGGTCTCACCTTCTAGAGGTCTAATCCTCTGATTAACTGAAATTTTAATCTTCTACGTTTTCTTCTTCTTCTTCTTCTTCTTCTTCTTAGTTCTGAAAATTAATTTAGTAATAAATAATAAATTTTTTAAGTTGAACTTAGTAGAAACATTAACCAAACCTGGCATCGGTGAAAAACAGTTGAGTTTATGAAAAATTATAAGTGATGAAAACACTGGCGAAAAGTTGCCATTAACATGAAGGTGAGACCATGCTACCGAATAGTTGTCATTATATTATTTACCATGAGAAAGTCAACAGGAGTCGCACTTTTTCCGCTGGGAGAATACATTTGAACATTGACCACAATAAAACGGTTCATTAGTGAGGAGAGGGGGGGGGGGGGGCGGAGGGAGGCAAAAGAAAGAGCACCAAATAGAGGTAGTAATGGGCAACTTATTTCTTGGACTTTTCTGTCGCGCTTTCAGTTCTCGAGTAAGGTATCCTGAGAAAAATGACTCTCTGTGTTGAAGGGAATTACACTTTAGTCATTTTTTTGTAGCCTTTCTGCCTATTCGCCTGAAACTCCAATCTGTCTTGACAAGACAATTCCTCAATTCTACTCATCATTGTTTTATTAAAAAAAGCAATTTAGATCTACGCAACCCTGCATAATACCACATTTTGGAAGTGCTATTAGCTTGTAACCCCTTTCATATTTCACCAACAACTGATTCACGGTGGAAGAATTCCGTTTCTGAATTTTAGGATTTAACCCCTGTTACTTAAAAGTATTTACGCTTGTAGCCTTCAGAGAATATTGGTCAGTTTATATCTTTGGATGATTGATTAATTTCGGTAAATATATTTTTTTATTCTTGAAGTAAGATGATCGAATAATGATGAATCTGTAGTAGCCATGCTTCTTATCCTATGATGAAGCTAATCGATTTCCAAATTTTTAGGAGATTTTGGTACTAGATGAGAATCAGATCAGATATTAACATGTTGAAAATGGAAATTGGAAATTGAATTGTGCGTATAGTAAGACAATGAGCATAGGACGTTAGTGTAATTTCATCATTCAAGTAGTAACCACCTCTTTCTTGAGTGAGAACTTAGACACGCCTGTGGAAATGTTTATACTCAAGGTGCCTCAGTTGCACAATATCCCACTGCAACCTATTGATTAAGAGGTATAGACTGGTTGAAACACGAAAGTAAATGTTCGAGTTTGAGCACTCGCGGTGTGCTCAAATGCCACCGGAGGAGGAGAAGCGAAATATGTTTAAAAAATAATTGAACTTATAATGAATAGCACAGAACGGACAGCAGCACTAAGGTGAGCTAAATAATAGGTGAATAGTGGGTTTAAGGGAAAGAAAAGGAACTCAACTAAAGGAGCTATTGAGAAGAAATACATGCAGCAAAAGAGAACAAGAACTAGGAAATATTGCAAAGCGTACCAGTTGAGAGTTGTCAAGGCAATTTGAAGTTAAATCCGTCGCACATTTACACCCCAGAGGGACGTTTTGATTGTAGTGGAAGATAAAGTAAAAATTAAGAAATCTATATTTATATTTTGCATCTAATTCATAAGCAATTGACAAAATGCAAAATCAGACAAAAATTAACATCAAAATAGGCTTAAACGGAGACGCAGACGTTCAATCAGCTGAATAGAGAAAAGCGAGTTTTAATGAAATCACAAATCCTGTCTTTTTTAAAATACCATATACTCTTTTTCAAATCGATTGACAAATATTAGTTGATTTGACTAGAATTACGCCAAAGCACTTCGTTTAATTACTTCAGATATTAGGATCTTTATGATTTCAAGAGAAATTTAAAACTCCTAAAATTGCCAAGTCATTCAACTTATTTGAAAGAATTGAAAGGTGAAAGAAATCATTTTAGGACACACTGCTTTCATTTGCAAATTGAAATAACCTGTTCGTTCTAAAATGTGACATCACGTCAAAAGCACATCAAAATACCAAATTGCTAATGTCATCGCCATTAAAATGTTCATAATGTGACGTGGAACGGTGAGGAGGAAAGGTGAATACACCTAGGCATTTTATAAATAAACCTTGATTAAAATGTAAAAACCAAAAAATTGAATTAAATCTTGCAATTATGCAAATAAACTTACCTCGATGGTTTGACGAAGCCACTTAAGTGCTGTTGGCTAATAAATCCGGTTGGCACTATTTTTATCACTTCCAAGCCAATTTACCTAAGCGCTTCCAACATTTACACTGGTGTGAGGAGTGATATTGAAGAGTCTCGTTATGGGAAACATAATTTCTAATTGAACGAGTGAAATAGAACATTTGGTCTAATGGATAAGTGCAAAGGTTATTGAATCCCAGCTATTTTTGACTGCATAGACAAGGCAAAATCTCCGCACAAATGGTCATCACACTTAAACCAATGAGTATAGCTGATCAATTCTATTTGAGTTGATATTTTCCCGCGCTATGGATAATTGCATACAAACAATTATTCATTTAATTTTCAAGATCATTTGATTAAACCGTATAGTTTTGCCTACAGTTACGCGATAAAGACCTTCACACAAATCCCCCATTGTTTGGTGCTCTAGATTTCTGAAAGTGTTCCAAAGGTCCCTGGCATCACCAATGGCACGCTTTTCAGGAACTTCGGAATCATTTTGAAGTATAAGAGGCTATTTTAAAAATTTAAGGTTGCACGAATAACTTGTGCAATAGACTTGTGAGAATAAGAGGACTGAATGGAAAGTCATTTTAACCATTGTTTAAACCACAATTTTGAAGAAACACAAAATGAATTATCTGATATTCACCTTAATGGTAGATGAAGAATTTTCATCTTAATTAACCGACATTTATTCAAATAACAAATGAGGTTATGGACTAAATTTGGCGTGACATTATGTTTAGAAAAATGTTCATTTAGTACTGTAATATGCCCCGTTGGTGAAGTCGTTAATGTGTACTTCTAGTAAATTTGAAATTAAAATTCGATACACACTGTCTCAAATAATTTGTAGGATAAGGCCACATAAACAAGATTTAATGTTGGAACACTTGGATCTCATTAAATTGACTACCAATGCACATTTCCCTTCATTGGAACTCTAATTTTTAGGACTTTGTATGAACTGTGTAATTCTCGTTCTCTTATGAATAGCGTATTGTGTCTAAGGCTCATCTTCCTTCAAGCAGTTATTAAATTGCACTTGTTCTCTTACTTAGCCATGTTTCAGCTTACTAGCCAATAGTTTAAAGTCAAATAAAATGTAACCGGAACAAAAATTTCAGTCTATTGCCTATCCTGTTTACACTGTTTTGGTAAGAAGGGCCTGAGCTTACGAACTTCCTTTTCTTTTCTGCGTGTCGGTGCATGCTTAACTGCCGCCTTCTAACAACGATATCTTGATAACTGGGTAAGTGGTGTGGGAAAAATCGCTTTTGTGGAAACCTATGTTTTATAATTAGAACCCATGATCGTTTAGCCGAAACCACTGGATATAATGACAGCAACGAGTCAAACCTTTAAGTATATTCCTTAAGTGATCCACTTTTACGCACTACACTTTTCAGGAATCCTTGCAACTGCGCGCAATTGACTCTCTGCAGATTCCTGGTGAAAACCAAATTACTTTCTTATGCTAATTCCCACAGTAATTTGAGATAAGGAGGTCTTTCCTCATGAATCTGACGGCGAGGATTATTCTATTAATGACTATAAGAAAGTGTGCAAAACAAGTTTTGGGGCAAAGGAAAGGAGAAGCATGGCGTAGTAATAGAGCGTGAGTGTTTATGCATGGCTTGTAAATGAAAAGACTGCCTTCAAATTTATCTTAAAGTTCGCTTTGGATGACACCTCGAGATTGGTGATGTGTTTAAATCATAGCGATATCTATTTATAAAAAAATAAAGCAATGAAATGCGGTGTTATGACCAAATATTCGAATAGTTAGATTCTTCAATAAATTCTGGACAGAGGCAAATGAAGTTGCTCAGGAATTCAGAAAATAAATTCTTATATTCTCAATTCAGAATTTTTGAATATGGAGTGTGCAACATGTGTGTGAACTGTAATCGCAAATCGAAAAAGCAACCAAACTTCATTCCCAATGTTATATCGACCTCCTTTCTGACCGTCAAAAAAACGAATGTTTTCAGGATGAAATAGATAATGGGAATCGGTAGATGATTTAATTATCGTTAAAAGCTCCTCTTGCAATCTAGTTTTAATAGCTACTGGGTGTTTAAACTACGAATATATATATATATATATATATAT